CCTTCCCCCGCTTGGCTCTTATAAAAAATAAAAAAAAAAAAAAAAAAAAAAAAAGAGCCCCACTCCATCTCATTAAGAAAGTAAACACAAGAGCCGTCTAAGTGTCTAATTAAGCTTCTAATTAGTCCCTGCTTGTTACTAATGCAAATTAGATTACACCGCTTAACTACAGCATGTCCACAACACCCTTGTTAATTGCGGCCTTTTGAAATTAAATTACTCCCTAATTAGCATATCAAAGCCATTGATTCGGAGCCAGGAAAGATGAGGGCAGGAGGAAGCCGAACGCCAAGTTTTGTTAATCAGGGACGTCTAATTAAATAGTGACGTGGCGCACGGGGGCTCCCGCCTCGCTGCTGCTCGGGAGCCGCATGTGTGGGCCCAGGGGGACCCCGAGAAGGGCAGCACCCTCGGGGGGTGCACCCAGGATGGTTCACCACTACCCTGCTGGAGCATCCCAGTGGGTCTGGGATGCTGGTCCAGCACCTGCATCCCAGCAGGTCAGGGGTGCTGGTCCAGCACCTGCATCCCGGTGGATGTGGGATGCTGGTCCAGCATCACAGCGGGTCTGGGGTACCGGTCTTTCATCCCAGCAGGTCTCAGGTGTCGCTACAGCACCTGCATCCCGGTAGATCTGGGATACTGGTCCAGCATCCTGGCGGGTTGGGGTTGCTGGTCCAGCACCTGCATCCCGGCGGGTCTCAGGTGCCGGTCCAGCACCCGCATCCCGGTGGATGCACACTGCAGCAAGCAAGGGGGGGGGGGGGGGCAAAGTCCAAGCTGCAGGAAGCCCCCATAGAACTACGCCTGCCACCGCCGCGCCAGCATCCAGCCCTGGCAGCAGGGAGGGAGGTTAAAGTAGACCCCAATTTCTAACCCCCCCTCTCCAAAAACTCGCTTTCCTTCTGCCCAATCTGTTCCAAATGGGAATTCAAAGGAAAAACGCCCCGAAGAGCAGACACAGCCACCTGCAGAGCACCCCCAAAATCCTCCGCAACCCCCACGGGAGCAGAAGGGGCACCCGAGGGAGGACAGGCAGGGCTGGAAACGGGCAACGGCGTCTCTCACCTGCAGGACCCCGAATCCAGCTTGGCACAGAACCCCCTCGCGGCGATGGGACAGCACATGGCACGGGGAAGGACGCCTGTGCCGGTGGTCCTGGCACCAAATCACCCACCACCCCGGGCACCCGACCGGGGGGATCCGTCCCCCACCAGCCATGGGGAGCCCACGAAGAAAACACCCCAACTACACCGCCGGCATTGACCAGTGACCGGCACAGATCCGTCCTTTGGAGAACACCAAACCACCCCCCCAGCGCCGAGCGGGGACACCCCTGGCACTCACTCCAGTCACCCCCAAACTCCCCCAAAAGCCCCAGCCCCAAAATCACGATGGGATATAAATAACAGAGACCCCAGGGAAGAGTCTGGATCTAGAAGTAACCAGGTAGATTCACTCGAAGAAGAGTAAAAATGAAGCAAACACCTACTTTTTTTTTTTTAAAGTTATTTCAATAACTTCCTGAATGACCCAGTTCTTTAAATTTTATAACTTTTCCTCTCTCTCTTTCTTTTTTTTTTTTTGTTTAAAGAGGTGGGAAGGAAAAAAAAAATAAAGGGATAAAGAATGGAAAAGTTTAATAGAAGGAGAAAAAGTCTATTAAAAAAAAGACGCAGGCAGCCCGTCTCGGGGGAAGAGTTGAAATATTAAAGAAAGGAAAATCGCTTCTCCGGCTGCCGAGACAGAGGAGGAGAATAGAGCGGCTTTAAGAGAAGGAGCTGTGCACTTTTAATTGAAAAGAGGGAGATTCAAATGAACTATCCAATATCCCCCATTAAAGAAAGGAAGAAAGACGGACCCTGGCCGCTTTGCTACGCCAAGAAATTGCTAAAGCCCCAACTTTCTTTCTCTCCCCCTGCCTCGAAAGTTATAGGAAAGAGGGATGAGAGAAAGGAAGAAAGAGAAAAAAAAGGGTCTTTCATACAAGAGGAACTCAAGGGAATGGGGGAGGAGGGTGGGAAGAGAGACCAAGTTTTATTCATTTATTTTATTTTATGAGATGAGTAAAAATAATATATATAAAAAAAAAAGGCAGAGTTTTATAATGTCACAGTGTTTGGAAGCAGCAGCAGAAGGGAGAAGAGAGGGGGGAAAGCAACTAAGAACAGAAGGGCCAGCTCCAACCACCCGCCGTACAAGCCTCTCTCCCAACGAGATTCAATTAATTGATAACAAGAGGCATCAAATTAATTTTTCAAGGATGTTAGATTTTGATGAAGGAAAAAATCTCTCTGATTTTAATCGGGGCGGCGTTTAAAAGGCATAAATGAATATCCCTTTCTAATCATCTGAGGCGCCGAGGAAGCACCAAGCGGTTAACGTGAAAATTCAAATCGTTTAATTAGGGGGGGGCGAGGGGAGGTGGCCGCGGTGGGGGAAGGGGACCTGGGCTTTTCTTTTTAAAGAGCTTTATGAAGAAATTATTTTTAAAATGATTTCTTTCAAGCATCTTTGCTCCCCCCCTCTCCCC